AGAACGTTAAAATGTGGTAGAGTAAAATTCTGTGTTTACAGTAGAACGTTAAAATGTGGTAGAGTAAAATTCTGTGTTTACAGTAGAACGTTAAAATGTGGTAGAGTAAAATTCTGTGTTTACAGTAGAACGTTAAAATGTGGTAGAGTAAAATTCTGTGTTTACAGTAGAACGTTAAAATGTGGTAGAGTAAATGAATAAAACTCCGATATTAACAGGCACAGTTCCGTTTAAATTACTGTATTCATTTGTTAACCTTCAAATTAACGACTTGTTTTTGTACCGTTCACCACCGATAGAGGTCCTTATATTGCATCATATTGAGTAATTTGATATATTTGTGTGTTACAACACTCAGTTTTTAAAAAAAAGCTAACAAGAGATATTAAGTGCAATTACCCATTTTCTACCTAAAATACACAATTAGTGGATTAATTACAATATTGGTGATGTTTTTGTGTGTGGCTCATAGCACCACAGGGAATTCGATCAATTAGTGGATTAATTACAATATTAGTGATGTTTTTGTGTGTGGCTCATAGCTCCACAGGGAATTCGATCAATTAGTGGATTAATTACAATATTGGTGATGTTTTTGTGTGTGACTCATAGCACCACAGGGAATTCGATCAATTAGTGGATTAATTACAATATTGGTGATGTTTTTGTGTGTGTGGCTCATAGCACCACAGGGAATTCGATCAATTAGTGGATTAATTACAATATTGGTGATGTTTTTGTGTGTGGCTCATAGCACTACAGGGAATTCGATCAATTAGTGGATTAATTACAATATTGGTGATGTTTTTGTGTGTGGCTCATAGCACCACAGGGAATTCGATCAATAAGTGGATTAATTACAATATTGGCGATGTTTTTGTGTGTGTGGCTCATAGCACCACAGGGAATTCGATCAATTAGTGGATTAATTACAATATTGGTGATGTTTTTGTGTGTGGCTCATAGCACCACAGGGAATTCGATCAATAAGTGGATTAATTACAATATTGGCGATGTTTTTGTGTGTGGCTCATAGCACCACAGGGAATTCGATCAATTAGTGGATTAATTACAATATTGGTGATGTTTTTGTGT